GAAGTGACCAATCAAGATTTGCCACCAAGGATAACAGTACACAAATGATATTGAGCTTGGCAATGGAAGCAAACGTTTCTTGATAGTCAATGCCATATGATTGAGTAAATCCTTTGGCGACCAACCTCGCTTTGTACTTGTCACCATTGAGAAAGACATTCTTTACATCGAGTTAGTGAAGTGACCAATCAAGATTTGCCACCAAGGATAACAGTACACAAATGGTATTGAGCTTGGCAACGGGAGCAAACATTTCTTGATAGTCAATGCCATATGATTGAGTAAATCCTTTGGCAACCAACCTCGCTTTGTATTTGTCCACATTCCCATCTGCCTTGTACTTTACTGTGAAAATCCATTTACACCCAACCGGTTTCTTCCCTCTCGGGAGTTCAATAACTTCCCAAGTACCATTCTTTTCAAGAGCCTGAACTTCCTCATCAACCACAGTTTTCCACTTAGGACACTTGAAAGCTTCCTGAATGTTCTGAGGAACCTGTATCTCTGTGATACTAGCAGTAAAGGCAAGGAAAAATGGTGATAGTTTATCATATGAAATAAAATTCCCAATGGGATGTTGAGTGTATGATCTAACTCCTTTTCTCCAAGCTATGGGCATATTCAGGATATCATTTTCTAACTTGGAATCAACAACACTATCTAAGTCAGAAATATTGTTACTTGGAATTTTGCTCGAATTCGGACTTGGTTCAGCTTCATGGATTTGTTGAGGAAGTGCTCCTTCCTCTGTTTTCTTTTGGATGTGCTCCTTATCTCGTAAGTTAACAATGAACTCAATGTTTTTGATAGGTAGGAGTTGATTAGGAGGTTCAAGAGAAATGTGATTTTCTGTGGTGATAGGTGACTCAAAGTCCCAAAATTGATATTCCTGAGTTGAATTCTCTCCCTGAATATCAGTTTTGGGGTAGTAAGGCTGGTTTTCAAAAAAGGTGACGTCCATCGAATGGTAGAATTTTCGTATGACTAGAGAGTAACACTTATACCCTTTTTGATTTGAGGAATACCCAAGAAAGATGCACTTGAGCGACGTAGGATCAAGTTTACTTCTATGTTGTTGATGGACATGGACAAAGACAGAGCACCCAAAAATTTTGGGTGGGATGGTGGAAATTAGGTGAGTTGTTGGAAAGGATTTTAGGAGGGTGTGACAAGGTGTGTTGAATTTTAGAACTCTAGACGACATTCTATTGATAAGGTAAGCTGCCGTAAAAACTGCTTCCCCCCAAAGATATTTTGGTACATTTGTTGCGAATATGAGCGATCTAGCCACCTCTAGTAAATGTATATATTTTTTTTCAACGATTCAATTTTGTTGTAGGGTATCTATACATGAACTTAAGTGAACTATTCATTTTTTCACTAGAAATTCTCCTAGGCTGGAGTCGAAATAATATCTAGCATTATCAGACTTTAGGACTTGTATTTTTTATTGGAATTGAGTCTAAATCATATTTTTGAAACTTTTGAATATTTGAATCGTTTCTGATTTTTTTTTTTCATGAGGAATACCCAGGTTAATCTAATGTGATCATCTATGAATGAGACAAACCACCCTGCACCTATTACATTTTTATTTTTAATGGACCCCAAATATCACTATGAATTAATGAGAATGGACTAGACGCTTTGTAGGGTTGAATGGGAAATGAGACCGAACATGTTTTGATAATTGACAGATTTCACACTCAAAGGATTTTGGATTTTTGTTAAATAAGGATGGAAATAAATGCTTGACATACATAAAATTTGGATGACTTAAGCGATAGTGCCATAACACGATTTCACTATCGTTAATTATTTTGACAAGAAACAGAAAAAGAATTACCACTAATTGCCTTTTCAGGTTGTTCTTGTAGATAGTGGCGCTTCTTAAGGATGTAGAGTCCAGAGCATTCCTCAGCATTGCTAATCATCTTCCCCAAATCCAAATCCCGAAATTCATAATGAGTAGAGGAAAAATTAATAACACACCTCTTTTCCTTAGTGAATTTACTAATTGACAATAGATTACATTCCAAGTTAGGAACAAAAAGAACAGAGTTGAGAGTAAGGTCCTTTGATAGCACAACTGAACCTGTACTGATAACTTTTGATGGCGAACCATTCACTATTCGAACCTTTAAATTATTTGGATATGGGCTATATGTGTCAAACATCTTTGCATCTCCCATCATGTGATCAGATGCTCCTGAGTCCACAATCCAAGGTTTTTTACGTTTCTAACCCACAGTAAATGCGCTAAAAAAATTATCTTTGTAAGTCAAGATTTCGTACCAATGACATGGTTGGAAGATGAATCGATTTGTGACTGAGCTGACAAAAGAGGAGACAATAATTTTTGAAGCGTCTCCATTTGCTCTTTGTTAAACGGACTTGCTTTAGAAGGCGATGGCTCCTTGGCAGAGACGTGATTTCCTCGGCCTTCTTTCTCTATCTATTGATGCAAAGATAACAAGTAAGAAAAACTTGATGATAGAGACAAAGAGAGGATTAAACCCGCTCTAATACCATGAAGAAAATAAAGAATGAAAGTATGAAAGAATACCAACTTAATTTCTTATGTGATCTACTTTTCTATTGAATAAAGAAGACATAAATAAATAGGTTACAATGGTGAGACAATTCTGAAAAGGAATCTCTTTTAAAGGAAAAAAATAAAAATAAATCAAGAAGATTTGACAATTAAGAATTCAATCTTCTTGTAAAAGGAAAAGAATAATTAAGAAATAAAAAACTCCTAAAAAACAAGAAACATTAGCTAATAGCTAATACATAACAAGTAAATAAAATAATTAAATAAACACAATCATCTGTTTTTTTTTTTAATACCCCAACCTTCTCGTCAGCCAAAATTGTATAACTGGATACGAAAATATATATTCTGAGATCATTTAGAGTCGGCAACATGTGTCAACTTTGAAACATAAGCAACAGGTGTCACTGAGAGATGTTACAGCCACAGAATAATATATATTCGTAAGAATAACATTAGCCTTACAAAGAGTCAAACAAAGAGTCATACAAAGAGACAATCTCTACCCTTAAAAGAAGGGAAAGAGAGAGAGAGAGAGAGACAATCATAAATTTTAAGAGTAGGAATTGTCTCTTGTATGACTTTTTATATACCTTTTTGTAAGACTAGTGTTATTCAGTTACCCAATTCGTAAAGCCTAGAGCTTTCTAATGGGCGTGTTTTGATTTGATCAGCAGCTGTAGTTATTATGAAGTTCACATGGGTTTTAAAAACTCTTGGCCTTGGAAGCACCAACAAGGCGAGAGTTGCAAGTCTTGAAAGATCAAATCAGATGCACATTGAACTTTGAGTCAAACAAGTTAGCCGACACAGGAAGATACAAATTGAGTTACTTGCAATTTGCATTACCAAAAGGGCGGCGCATGCAAGTGACAAGTAAAGACATTTCAGCTTAATATATTATTGACTACCAATGAATCCCTGAAGGAAACAAAAACTGATAAATCAGAAGCAGTGTCGAATAGGTAAATATATGAAATACCTTTTCAGAGACATGTGAATGAATGATGATGTACCAAACAATATTAATAGATATTCATGCTCTGGAACTCCCTTATGAGAGAATCTAAAGAATTTTTGGCCCACAAGACCATTCAAAATAAAAAAAAAAATTTCCATAAAAATTCTCAACCCTCAAAAGCACTGAAATTGGACTCATATTGCATATGCATATACCAGCTGTTTTCAACCGGAAAAACATTTGAAAGCTGCAAAGAATCCACAGAAAAAAGATTAACAAAAGAGACAAACAGTGATGTGTACGTGTCAATGGAAGGAAAAACGGTCCCCTTTGGAAGGATATTGTGACATAATTTTTTGCAATACTGAAAGAACTTTTGAGTCTTTTAACCGAAAGAAGTGCTACGTGTATAAGTTCTAGTGATTGTTCGAAATCCAACTCAGCTTTTGCTTATATTTTGATGACTTCAGGCATGCCTCACCCGCATGACAATAATTCCCAAGAATATTATTTCCTTACATCACCTGATCTACATATACATTTCCTCCGTTTCTTGTAATTTGATTGCTCACGTCAGTTTAAGAAATAATTTTTGGTTTCATGGTGATATATGATAATAATACATCATGCTGAGTTTTAATAATTGAGTGATCAACGTGGCAACTCTTAGGCCAGAAAGAATAATACTGTGATATGGGATTGGATTTAATTAATAGTAATAGATAAACAAATAAGCAAATCAAAATCAAATGCAGCCATTCAAGACATGAAAAGGGCAGACTGGTTATATCAGTGGATTGATATCAAAACAAAAGAGAGTTTATAAAAAATGTCAGTTTATATCTAATACTTTATAGATCAATAATGTTAAAGATATGGTAGTTCAAACTTCTAGCTTCTAAATGATTGTAAATGCTAATGCAAGAAAATGATAAGAAATGAAATAAAAAGAAACCCATTTGAGGTGAATGTGGAGGCTGGGATGGTGCTGTTCTTGGGTCCAATCATGCATCCCATGTTTGTAAGATTCATTGATACAAAAAACCATAGCTTATATTTTCTTAGTGACGGTGGTAAGCATATTTTTTTTCATCAAATTATAAATTATAAGTCACTGTTGGACCTTATTATCTTAATAAACAAAGGAGAGCTGCTCCTCATCCCTTGAATTGAAAATTAAAATGGTTTAAATTCTTAACCACTCAATCCAATTTTTAGGGGTATTTTTTCTTTCTGGGCTTTGCTGCCACCAAGTCCAAAAGAAAGGTGGTCTCATTAAACTTGTCCAATCCAGATTCAATGAACACAACTTCTTTTCTAATAGTATTGTGAAAAACAATTAGTTGTAGAACAAGTGATTGGAACATAAAATGGCATATTAATCGACAAACTTTCTTATAAAAGAATAAGACATCCATACTTTTTATCCAGATTACACCATCTAAACTCCTCTAGTGGAGGCAATACTCAAATAAATTTAATAAATTTCTTACAGACAACACTCTGGTTTTGGTGGAAAATAGATATAACATTTGACTCGCATTACGCCGAACTTCAAAGCTCTCTGCAACTATAATCTGGATCTCTTGCTTTGAGAATCCTTCATACATACAAGAACAAAACTGCAGTACCTCAAACAATAATATCTGAAGCTGTCTCTTTAAGAATTTCAGTTGCTGAACAGCACCAGGATGTAAACCTACAATCAGCTTAAGAAAATAAGTTTATTTACATAGTATTTAGAAAACAGATGGAAACCACCTAGCTTCCATGGGAAGATAATGGCACATCGGCATCTTTCCTAGTCTTGTTCTTGAAAAAATGTTCACAAATATAAGAATACATATAATTTTTTCTTTGTATCAGTCAATTTTCAGAATCAAAATTTGGGCTTTTTTCTACCTCCTTCATAAAGGTGTTCTGGAAAACTTTCTTGAAAAATCCTCTGGAAAAGTAAGCCAAAAAAGTTGTCTATTCAAGAACAAAAACTGTTTTTGTGACCAGAGACTTGTAGGAAACAAATTGAAACAGGGGATAAAACAGTCCTAAGGCTTTAATTTTTCAGGCAAAATTGGTATCCAAGCAAACACAGAATAAAATAATACGATTATTAAATTTAAGTCTTATCAATTCCAAATAGGATTACACTGGTGTAACGTAAAGCAAAAAGCAGAATAACCAATGACATACCAAGCAATCAACCACATCAGCGGTAGTAGATATTCAATCCTCCTCCATAGGTACATCTGGAATATCAAACCTGTCTTCCTCAATTGTTTTATTGATCACAGAAATAGGTCTTGGTAAGAGAAGTCAAGGAATCCAGTTTTTGAATATGACCACAAAAAATAAAATGTATCATGATGAATCCTAGCTTACTTTCATTCTTGAAGTCTGACCATTCATGCTGAAAACTATCAAAAAGCTAAAATGTGGAGTGCGTTCATGCAGCAAACATTGCCTTATGATTCAATCCACATGAATTTTATTGCTAGTATTACAAATAATATAATTTCTATACCAACTTCTAAAAATTTAAAAACTAGCATCGTTCATAAATATCTAATATCAATTTCATTTTTTGGCAGGCATCAGTAATTCTCTTAACCAACTTTTACTGACATTTCTATAATCATACAAAGGAAACATATCTAAACCATGAGTATATTTATCTAAAGACAAAAGTATTGAAGGCTATTTTACAACATTAACAAGTATTTTTCATTAGCCTTCCCAAGTGATGTCAAACTTCTTCCATGATGTTTTTATTCAGGACACTGGTAATTCCTAGCTTGAAGCAAATATTGCAGCTATTCTTTAAAACATGAATCAATATAAGACATTCCTACACAAAAAACAACCGTAACACTTGAAAACTCAAAAGTTTTAACAAATATTTTGCAACGATTTCCAATAACTTTTGTTTCTTTCTTATTTTTTTGAATTGGAAGAACCAAGAGTGAGTTTTGCCAATTCATAACGGCTACGTAACATCCCAAGAGTTAAAACATGGAAATTTTCGTAAATGTAAAACAAAAAAACCACAGTGAACAATAATCCATGTGCAAGAATATGTGATATTCACAAACACCCAAAAGAATATTGTTGGCAATATAAAGCTTTTCACAAAGCAAAGGATATAAATCAACATAAGATTGTCCTCCTTCTCACCACGATTGCGGCTACTATCAAGCTCCCTGATAATTTCAGGCGTAACCTAATATATACAGCGAGCAAAGTCATAATCTGCTCAACTTATTTTAAATAAACCAGGATTTTCAAGACAGCAAAGAAAGAGAGAGAGAGATGAGACAATGCTCGTACTAATTTATGTTTTTGCCTTTTAAGCAGAATTCTAAGGTCATCTTTATCCTCCTTCCGCAGTTCATTCTTGTACCTGCAGAAAAATTCAAATGGGCAGTCTATCAGAAAAAAGCCCTGGTTCCACTCATTTTTATAAAAGATAATTAACAATAAAATAGCATAAATAGCTTAAAGTACAATAGAAGAACTTTATAGGGAGTGAGAATTTTAATCATATACTGCACAATGATAGTAAACAGTCAATAAATATTCTGATATATGTTTCAATGAGTATGAATGTGAATGCCAAACCAGTCAATACACAATGATCACTTTATAAATTCCTAAGACGTTTTACATCCTTATTTTTCTTCTATTCCTGACTCTAAAATCAAAACATCTATAAATTCTTTTGTGGTTAACAACTATTTAAATGATAGTGAAACAAATAGATGATAATAGGCAAAACAAGATTTTTTATTTTTATTTTTTTATAAGAAACAAACAGAAGCATAACTAAAATCTTATTGAATGATTGCTAACCTCTGCACAAATGCAAGAAGTGACTGGTGCCAAATTACAGGCATTACTCGTGTATCCTCAATAAATCTCATGAAATGAGCAACAATAGCATCGACTACACGATATGGCAAACCATATTTCTTCTCCAAAAGAAGTTTTATGAAGTAGCTGCAAAAAATTAAAAAGATAAAGCCCCTGCTCGAAAGGGCCAACAACACCGACCGCGCCCTAAGTAGAATACCAGTCTCGTTGAGATCGGTGAAAAGAAAGACGCACCCGAGCTGTCCCATAAAGTGCTGGACGGGGCGATTCTTATCACTGCCAGCAAAACGATCCTGATCATCACCATGCGAGAGGGTCCCAACTTCCGGGGGTGTTCTTCCGCTGCGAAGGTCGTGTGAAAATACATCGCACCTTTCATCGCCATCACACACCTCTAGCTAGCGTGTGTCGGAGTGGCCGGAACCGCTGGCCAAGGCGAAGAGGAACCCGACCTCCAACTTTCCTCATCATAATCGCGAGGGTCGAACTCGCATGGGTGAAATCAATCCCCAAGCGGTTCCATTGCCACAAATTGAGGAGCTGCAACGAGCTCTAGACAGGCTACGAGCTCAGCAAAATGAGCAGGGGCAGGTCGCATCTGCGTCCCCCTTCTCTACCGAAGTGTTAGTCGTTCCACTCCCACCAGGATCAAGATGCCCGACATGCAGTGTTTGATGGAACTCTGATCTGCAGGAGCATTTATATGAATCAACGACCTAATGGAGCTTCACAAGGTCTCAGATCTAGCAAAATGCTTTTGTTTGGCATGTGACTTTGACCTTTCATGCCAAACGGTGTGTTCAGGTTGCTCCAGCGGGATCGATCAGTTCGTGCCTTAGATGAGCGCGACGTTCCTAAGGCTTTTCAAGCAAATCGAAAGTTTTCGATGCCTTTGAGCTACCTCAGCAATATAAGCAAGAAATGGATGAATCCCTCCAGTCTTACATTGACCGTTTCCACAGAGAACTCAAAAGGTGGCTCATACTCCCAAAGAGTCTGTTCGGACTCTCATCATAGCCGGAGTTCGTCCCAACTGACCTTGGAAAGAATTACAGGCTGAGGACGATGTTTCCCTCACTGGATTCTACAACCTTGCAGAGAAGTACCTCCGGATAGAAAAATTCATTGGCAGCACTCCGCCGTCGCGACCCCGTGCTTCGGGCAGTACACCTGGTCGGCGAGATAGTAGAAGAGCTGATCGCAGGGGGAACGTAGACAATCAGCGAAGAGGGAAGAAACCTCGTTACGAGCCCAAAAAGTCCTATGCTCCCCCCTCTTCGTGATCGCGACAGACACAATATACTCTACTGAACGCATCTGTATCGGCTATTCTTGATAAATCCGAGGAGGCCAGCCCGCTCGGAGAGCAGCCCATGAAAACTCCCGCACAGCAAAAAATAATAAAAATATTGTCGCTATCATCGGGACAATGGGCACCATACCGATAATGCCGAGCTCTCAAGCAGGTGTCGAAAACCTCATCAAGCAGGGACATTTCAAGAGTATATTAATACTTTGCTCCCTCACGAGAAAAATCAGGGGAACCAGTAAAAAGCGCCGCGATCAGAAAGGAGTGTGCACCCTCAATTTAATTTTCGGGGGACAGCATTTCGCGGTGAACTCGCGAGGTGCCCAAGAAAGGTATGCTCGCGAGGCACATCACGAGCCCATCAAAACGATGAGCGTGGCATAACGACCACAGAAGGTTTGCCGAGAGGAGAAAATTTTCTTCTCCAAAAAGATGCAGCTTGACTGCATCATCCTCACGATGATGCCCTTGTGATCACGCCCCTCATACGCCATAATATCCAGAGAATGTTAGTGGATAACGGAAGTGCTGTGAACATCTTTTTCGCTTCAACTTTCGAAAGATGAATTTGGACAGGCAACCTGAAGCCTGCCTCGTCCCTCTATATGGCTTTACAGGGGACCACCTGCTCCCCAAGGGCACGATCTCACTCCCAGTCACGCTGGGTGACTTCGATGAGGTAACAAGGGTAATTGAGTTCTTGGTAGTGGATTCCCGGCTGCCTTTAATGGAATCCAGGCCGACCTCTGCTGAGACCTTCAAGACGGTCACTTCAATATACCATTTGAAGTAAAGTTCCCCACCCCGATGGGGATTGGGAAGTTAGTGGGTCTCAGCGCATCTCGGGCATGCTATGTAAAGCAGTACAGATGGCGTCAAAGGCAAAGGCACCACACGCACGATCACAACCAGACAATGGTGATTAGTTGGATCGAGCCACACTTGGCCCAGCCGAGGATAATATAGATCCTCACATTCAGGACTGCCCTTCCAGTGGGCCAGTTGAGGCCTGACTGAAGTACTGTCAACCAGAACGACCAAGCAGGTGTTAAGAATTGGTAAAAATCTCAATCCCCGCTCGATCCCGAACTGACCAGCTTCCTCAGGGAAAACATCGATGTGTTCGCATGGTCCACACGCAGATATGGTCGGGATCAGACCGAATGTTATTTGCCATGCTTAAACATTGACTGAAGCCAAGCCAGTTCGCTAAAAGAGAGAGCGATGGACCCGGAGCGATATTGCCTTGAAGCTTGACGTGGACAACCCCTCTGAAATGGATCCATTCGAGAAGCACTCTATCCGACTCGGGGTCCAACCCGTTTCAGTAAAGAACCTAATGACAAATGGCGGACCATGTCGACTTCACCGACCTCAACAAGGCATGTCCTAAGACAGCTTCCCCTTACCAAGATTGACCACTCGTGGATGCCACCTCGAGGCACGAGCTACTAAGTTTTATGGACGCGTACTCGGGATTAATCAATTTTGATGTACAAGCCAGACGAAGAACATACATCTTTTATCACAGATCGGGGATTGTACTGTTACAAAGTTATGTCATTCAGCCTCAAGAACGCTGGTGCAACTTACCAGCGACTGGTTACCGAATGTTCTCTGAACATATAGGCAGATCGATGGAGGTCTACGTAGACGACATGCTGGTGAAGTTGCTGTCGCTTCAAATCACGTAGCACATCTCGCTGAGAATGTTCGGCATCCTCCGGCAGTACCGAATGAAGTTAAACCCTGTAATGTTCATTCGGAGTATCCTCGGGAAAGTTCCTAGGGTACTGGTTAACCAGCGGGGAATTGAGATCAACCCCGAAAAATCCAAGTTCTCCTCTATGAAGAGGCCGACCAAGAAAAAACAGTTATGAGCCTGAACGGGCGTATAGCGCGTTGAGTCGCTTCATATCGAGGCAACAGATCGCTGCTTGCCATTCTTCAATGTACTCAGGGCCAATAAGAAGTTTGAATGGACTTCCGAGTGCAAAACAGCCTTCCAAAGAATAAAGGAACACCTCGGAGCCACCACTTCTGTCCAAACCTTTCCCACAAGAGATCCTCATTTGTACCGTCCGTCTCGTAGTTCGCGATCATGCAACTTTAGTTCGGAGAGAACGGAACGCAATGGCTAGTATATTACACGAACAAGCGTCTGTTGGATGTCAAGATCGGTATCCAAAAATGAAGCGATTAGCATATGCCCTGCTGATCGCTTCCCGAAAGTTGCGACCTTACTTCCATGCCATACAGTTCACGTATTGACTAATTACGCTCAGGCAAGTCCTTCAAAAACTGGAGCAGCGGGTAATTGCTCAAATAGGCCATGGAACTCAGCCAGTTTGATCTCCATTACAAACCAAGAGCAACTATAAAGGTAGGCTGTTGCTGACTTTATACAGGTTCTCGCATCATCCAGCAAACGAGCAGAACAGCCCAATGAAGTCATCCAGGAAACTGTTCAAAATCTCTTGACCTAAACCTCTACGTCGATGGATCATCAAACAGAAAGAGGGCCGGAGCGGGTCTTCTCTTGTTAAGTCCCGAAGGGGCCCCATTCATGGCATTCTCTGGTTCAGTTTCAAGCAACCAATAATGAGGCCAGTATGAGCTCTACTCGTTGGACTCAGGTTGGCTAGGGGAAAGGGCGCAATCGCAATCAGCGTCCACAGTGACTCCATGCTGTTGTTACCAGATTTTGGAGAGTATCAAGCCAAGGAAGATAACATGATCAATTATTTGAAGAAGCTAAGGCCGCACTCGAGCCGTTCAAGCACTTCCGTCACATCACAGATTCCTAGAAAAACAATTCTTGTGGCGGACGCCTTGGCAAGGATAACCTCATCATTAGACCGAAGTACCAGAGAACATTCCTGTTCGATTCATCTAAACCCCAGTATCAGCCCAATCGAACAGGCCGTGAATGTAACGGGCTCAGACTCATGGTGACCCCCATTACTCGGTATCTCAAGGATGGGATCTTGCTTGACGATAAGGTCGAGGCAAGGTTTCTGCGAACAAATCTTTTCGCTACACCCTCATCAGAGACTAGTTATACAGCGAGGGTTTAGTGCCCCTTTCCTCTGATGTGCACTAGCGAAGAAGCGGATTACATTATGAGGGAGATCATAAGGATCTGCGGTAATCACACGCCCGCGATCTCTTGCGAACAAGTTGTTCTCAGGGGTACAATTGGCCCCGAATCCAAGATGACACCAACAACTTGTCAAAGGTGTGATAAGTGCCAGCGGTTCGCGAATATACCGCGAGCTCCCTCCCACGAACTGATAACCATGACTAGCCCCTGACCTTTTTCCATGTGGGGGATCGATCTCATTGGTCCCATGCCAGTTAGTAAAGGGGGGAGTCAAATATGTTGTGTGCGCGGTAGATTACTTCACCAAATAGGTGAAGTCAAACTGCTAGCCGTGATCACATCAGAAAGCTCAAAGACTTTGTTTCAAGATATCATGTGCCGCTTCGGAATTCCTCATACCTTCATCTCGGAAATGGGAAACAGTTCAACAACGAGAAATTCAGCAATTTTGTGACGAGTTGGGCATCCATAAAAAATTCGCCTTAGTCGCAAGACCGCAAGCAAATGGCCAAGTTGAAGCTGTCAACAAAACCATCAAGCACACTCTGAAGGCCAAACTTGGCACAGCCAAAGGAATTGGGCCGACGACCTCCCCGAAGTCCTATGGCGTACAGAACACTCTAAGAACCTCCACCTCAGGAACACCTTTTTCGCTAGCATACGGATGCGAAGCGATGATCCCTGTAGAGGTAGGAACTGTTCACTTCGAGGGACTTGTACAATAGGCCGACAACGAAGCACTTATGGGAGCAAGCCTAAACCTTGTTGAGAACATCGCAGCAAGGTTTCGCTAAGGATAGCAGCCTCAGCAACGCGCGAAGAGGTTCTTCGTCAAAGGTTAGGCGAAGAGACTTCCAGGTCGGTGACCTTGTTAAAGGAAGTTCTTCTCGGTACCAGGGAACCAAGTGCGGGAGTGTGTAAAACCCCCCTCCAGTCAGGTATCCTCTGAGTATCCCTCATGAGAATCCTGATGATACATGTCTGAGAACGATGTGTATTTAGAAAATCTATGTAAGGATAATATTAATATCCAAAACATGCATATAAATGTTCACCAGGATCCAAACTTATAATTTGTAAACTTTAAGAAATTATACCACAAACATATTTATAGGGTGGAAGTTCTAAAGGTATTTCACAAATATTTATCATTACATTATTTACATCAAGATAAAACATCGAATGACAATAAATCATCTCCCCTCACGTGTAGTCCCACTGTCCTAGCCTCCTCGCTTCTAGTCTACCTGCAAGCAATCAACAATGAAAGGGTGAGCACTAATCGCTCAGTAGGAATGATCCGTTTCATTCTGAATGTACATTTGATCTTTATTTAAACATATTTATTAAACATCACTTATCTTTTACATCTAGGATACTTCCCCTTTTATTACTATTCATATGCTTTTCATCATTTCATTCCATGCTAATAAACATCAATGTGTACACATACAAATAAGTATGTACATAGTACACGCACATCACATATCTGACATAACATCTAAATCATCTAACATGAGTTATAATCATCTCATGATGTAAATAACATCATACTCATGTAATGCAACTAAATGCATATGAAACATTTAACGTCTAGCCGATCAGACCTTTCTTAGCATCTTAAGCACTTCATATCATCTAGCCTCAAATTTCATCTAGACCTAATCATCGGAGCTGCTTATGCGTTATTTAGCATCTAAAGCATATATTCATCTTTCCTCAACCGGTATACGAGGATAGCTACCGTTTTCCATCGTGTCTATATGCATCTCTATCATGTCATTTGCATCTCTAACTCTTATGCATGTAAATACATATTTTGGTGAGCTTAATACTTTTAATTCATCTATGGATTACAATCCTTTACATTACCTCTTGCTCACATACTCATCTTAAAACATGTATTATATTGCTCTTCATGCCATTTCATAACTTAATCATGTATTAACATCATGACCATGTATATCTTTCCAAATCATCTAAACATGGGTAAACATTAGTACATGGCATACTTACAATAATACTTAATAATCAATTCTAATCATAAGAATTGATTATGTTAAATCTTAAACTTTATAACCAGTTTTGCTTCAGCGCATTTTCCATCCTTTTCTCAAACGAATTGGCTCTTGGCATAAACATAAAAGTATAGGTCTGTGTCTTATCTTCTAATGCTTCAATACATCTCATTTGATTTTTATAACTCAAGTTATGGTCGAAATACAGAAGCAGGGTTACAAAACCTCCAAGCTCACTAAATCCGAATTTTCATATTAACTATGCTACATCAATTCCTATAACATTAACCAATAGGTTAACTTATGGATCAAATAACCTCCCTTAATAGTCTTTAACATCTTAAAGGAAGTGTAAAATCTCATTCCCATAATCATCTATTATGCTATAACATTGTAAGCTAATGCAAACACACCACACACTTCTAATAGCAACCATTCAACACCATGTGGCCTCCAATACTACAATTTTTGCACTCAGTATCCACACTTCATTCTTCAATCAAACATCACAACTCATAAAACATAAATAGCAATAACCATCATGTACAATGAATTCAAGTCAATAAGTAAATAAATAGTTCAACTACACTTGCCATCAACTAATTCTATGCCTTAAAGCCTTAATTTAAGGTTTTATAAAAATACAAACCCTAGCATAAACCCTAAGTCATGGGAGGTTCTTCCTTACCTTTTTTAAGACTCCTCCAACAAATCCTTTGCCTTTGACTCTTTTACACCTTATCCTATATAACATATACCTCAACTCTACTTCAAATCTTCAAATCACATCAAAACTAAAGTTTTTAATCCTTACCTTAAACCCTTCTAGAAGATCCAAGGCTTCTAGCTTGTTCTCCTTGAAAAATTATGCAAACCCCTTGAAAACCTAGAGAAGAAAGCTTGTTTCATGGGATTTGAGAGAAAATGGAAGAAATGTTGAAGAAATGCTCTCTCCCTTGGCTTGAACGAATTTCATCTCATTTATGAAAATATTTTTTTATTTTCCAAAATTATGCTATTGGCCCATTATTTTAATTGTATAACTTATAAGTCCTTAATTCTTCATATAAGGGCATTTTGGTCATTTCACACTAGACATAATTATTACTTAATTAGCCTTAAATGCAATGAAGCCTATTCATCCTTGACTTTTTCAATGCTTATCTATAGGCAAAATAACCATTTTGCCCCCAAGCCTTTCTATGGTAATTGATTCATACCGTTCCAAATGAATTGACTATTTTGCCCTTAGTTAGATTTTATGCTTTTTAACATAAAATAAACATTTAAAGGACTATTTTGAGTTAGAACATACCTTGACATCTTGGGTATTACAGAGTGTTAGGACCAACTGGGAGGTCCATACCGCATCGACAAAGTGATAAGACCGAGGACTTATCATCTCAAAAGACTAGATTCCAGTACCCCGAGCCTGGAATGCTGAGCACCTTCGACCATACTATTAGTAATTCTGATCAGTTTTTCCTTGTAAATAACTTGCATTGTGTAATATTTCCTTGTAAAGTGTCATTTTGTGCGCTTGTAACAATCTTCGCATGTAATCTTGTTCGTGTGAATATGTTATGTTATCACACTTGTTCTAGTAAATTAACACTCAGGAAGTACTCATGTATAATAAGCGAACAGAAATTGTAAAAGCAAAAATGTATTTCATTAATGAGGAGTACAACAGGCAAAATGACATAACTAAAAGTCCTAATCCGGCTCCTAAAAGGTTGACCTCATCGCCTAGGGCTGGTCGGCTGAGGTTTATCAAAGGCATGTCCCGAACCTCCTGCTCGGGAGGCCGCCGCTTCATCATCCTCCCGCGCCATGGATATAAGTGTATCCCGCCAGTCTTCCAGGAGGTTGGACATATCAAGTCGCGATTCTTCTGTCGCAAGGCATAGATAGACTCGATCGCCCATTCGACAGCCTTCCCTCGGCCTTCCCTGCCTGATTCTGCATCTCTTCTGTCAAGGAAGCAACTTTTCCCCGACTTGCCTGGAGTTCAACTTCGAAGCTTGCCTTCGCTTCTCAGGCACCTCCTCTCTTGTTCTGTTCGCAAGGCCTGCAGAGAGGTCGCTTTGAGCTCCTGGTCCTTCTCCCCGACCTCCTTGGAGAGTCGGGCTATGGTCCTTTGTGCTCATTTATTTCTCTCCATGCTTCTCAAGCTGCGCTTTTTGAAAGTCCACCGTGCGAAGAGCCGCGTCTCTTTCGTTCAAGTACCATTTCGCCGACTCAGAAGACATGTTTTTCTCTGTTTCGGCGACTTCCAGGCTTCGCTTGAGCGTTGCGTTCTCTTTCCTTCAGAGCAACCTCTCCCTTTGCGGCTCCTAGCTGAACCTTCTTCAGGGACATTCGCATGGAAAGAAGAGCCTGCGAACAAAGAAAGATAGAGTTAGCTAATCAAAGAAGCTAAGGGTAGTCCACGTCGAGGACAGTTCGTTCACCTTGCTTAGTGTTGGGTGTTAGATCGTTGTGGACTTTAGGTCCACGTCGCGGGAATCTGCAACTGCTCAAATGATTTCGAGAGTCCGCATTCCATAAGGCGTAGACCACCGCTGCAGGTACTCCGACAGGTTCCCCAACGAGTCCAACACTGGAGTATTCTTCTTCATGCCTTCAGCAGTGGTCGTGTCGTCCATCGATTTCTTACCCGACCTCCTCACGTCTGGCCGTGACCTCTTGGGTTGATCGCCCTCAATTCGGTCTCTGACTCTTCGACCTGACCTGTCTCTTTTTCTTTCGCTGGGCCGTTGTCTTCAGCCCGGGCGAGCAGGCGATGGCTGGGAGACCTTCGTGGTTTTGTATTGGTGAGTCCTCTGACAGTTTGGCTGAGAAGTTCCAGAAGTGTCGCTTCGGTGGGTCAGATGTTGCGCCTTCACGGAGGGAATGGTCGAAGCAGCATTGATCGCCTTAGCTTTTCTTGACCGAGGAAAATTGAGCGGCCTTCATCGCAGCTGCTCTGACTCCTTCGGAGGCATGGTGGCTGCAAAGCACGTTAGCAAATATCTCATTTCATGACCAGAAAAGGACCAGTTTTTAGGACTTACTTAAGGGGCTCTAACGACGCGTTTGCGTTGAAGAAACCGTATTTTTGTAAATTCGCGATCGTCATGAGTTTCTTCACGTCGCGCTTGTCCTCAGGTAGGGAGCCAAATGCACGATCCTACTTGCATCGAAGAGCAGCCCTAAGTGGTCATCTTGTAAACGTCAGAAAGGAATCATTCGTTGAAAAGAGCACTTTCGAATGTAATGAATTTGTTCCCCCCCCCCCCCCCCCCAAAAAAAAAGAGAGAAGAAAAAGAGGCCTACTCGGTTTCCTGGACGGCAATGACCTTCATAGTGAAAGAAGAAAAACTTGTTTCATAGGCCCCCCGTTGCTCGGTAACTGTTTATTTTCTCGGCAATAGTAGGTCGCTTGACAAGTAATAAGAATCCTTGTCCTGCTCTTTTTCAAAAAATACGAGCAACCGAGGCTCCATCACGTCAGCTCGCCCAGTCTATTCTCGACACGTGATGTACATTGCATGGCAATGACGTACGCGTTCGGAGTCAGCTACATCGGCACGACCCCGAAGTGTCCAAAAGCGACCTGATGAAAGGGTGGAAGGGGATCAGCCCCCCACCCTTGATGATCTCCTCGGAGATCGCGGCCAAACCACTTAGTGGGTTTCGCGATAGTGTTCATGTCGGGAAAGCGTCTACCTCGATACCGTGCTGTTTTTACCCTCTCAAGCTCATCCCTGGTAAGTACCAAGAAACCTCGAGAGGGATACTCGAAGCACCCTGCGGGGACAAACCGGTTCCCTGCTTAGATTTGGTTGTTGAGGATCTATTTTGCTGGTCTGCAAAACGACAAGCAGAAGGGTCATTTAGCGGCCGTACTTTATTTCGTACAATGACTGGGAGGAAACAAACTCCCTAAATCCCAAAGGAAACCCTAACGGCATGATTCGAGCCGCCATTCATGGCTCGAACCTGACCTAAGCATCTCGTCTCTGATGGGCTACCGAAGACAACGCCATTTAACCGTGAAAATAATGAAACAAAAACAGAGAAAAGCTCTTACCTCTCGGAGTATGAGAATAGCTTCCGCTTCGAATACTGGAAAAATGCTGGTTTGGAAGGCAGAGGTTCCAGGTTTGCGAAAATCTTTTACTCTCTGTGAAAAAGGCTCTGGTGACATTGCCTGAGAAAGATTTGATGTTTTATAACGTATGAATCAGCGTTGGATTTCTTGGAATCGAACGGCGTTTGGGCAGCAAAGGTTTCTCACCGTTGATCACGCCACGTGTCACTCATAAGCGGGAAGGGAAAGAGTGAGCGTCATGACTGAGAAAGTCACATTCATCTTTCTGTTAAAAGCTCAAACGACGGCCATCTCTCTCAGAGAGCATTAATTGCGCCTCAATCTGCATTTAATGCTCTGGTAAGGGGGGTCGTTTCAACATGCCACGCTTAATGTTCCTAATAAGGCGTACTGTGTCAACGTACAATATTTAATGCATCTGGCTGGCACTTATCACGCACAAGCGCATCTGTTAGCGCAGAGACTGTTTTATTAAATCGCCTATATCAAAGCACAACAGGTGACACTGACGAATCAGGTGGCTCGTCTCTGTAAACAATGATCATGCGAGGTCGTGTTCACAAAAAGTGTCGTCCCGACCTACTTTCAAACAGGTTAAATCACTAGAATTCCAGAATTTCCATAAATCACCTAATTGCGGCATGACTTGTAGTTTCCAAGGTTCAATTCTTAACCTTAAAACTAGGGGACTTTTGTTATGCTTGGGAAAATAGGGCTGACGTGGCACCCAATTAAGTGCGAAAGGTCGACTTCGGGAAGAGTTTACTGACATTTTGGCGCAGCCGCGTCGTGTGATCAGGGGTACACCAGCAGCCTGCTTCTGTCAGAATAGTGGTGCATGTCAGGCCAGCCAGGACGTGTGATGATCCCGCGTGTCCAATCCCTGTAGCAAATCATGTGAATTACTCTAGAAGATGGTAATGTACATAAAGAAGGATTTGCACGGATCATCCCACCAACTTATCGATTCAGTGAACATTACCTCAATGCATCCCAATATAAGTTGAGGCTCATTTCTCATTAAGGGGGATTCGCACATTTTTACTCTTGACCAGCCACTCTCTCCTTTAGAATAGACAACATTTGATACTTTGTATTATCAGTGTAAAGTCAGTCGTCTAAAACGACCTGACCCTTATCATATAAACATCAGTGGACGTAGGACTTGCTTCCTAGCATCCGAACCACTTTAAAACTCATTTCCACTGTATTTAGTGTCATTTCCTTTCCAGTCACGTGTATCTTTTGGGCCAACTCAACATTCACACGTGCTTTTGTTGGTGTCAAAATCACGCATCAACAAATCTATAATGCATATTAAGTACCCACAATCGATGACTATCGAAGGGTGAATGACAAATGCTGCAATTATCACGCTTTACCTCATCAAACTATCGAGAAATTTCTATGAGTTGTAACTTTGAAACACTAGTAAACAGTTAGCAAAGCTTGCATAAGCAACCTGTGGCCTGGACTTGACCCACACAATTTGCAGCTGTAAAATATTTGTGACTCTAATTGAGACATGTGCAATTAAACACAAAGCTTGAGATATTAACTTGAAACAGAAGTGAAACAACTTGCATTGTGTTTATATAAACAATATGCATATCAAAATTGTGCCAAGGTTTTCTCCATGGTTCAGCAAAAACTAAGACTCCGAAAACATGGAAATATAAATCATGTATATCTAAATTTTAGCCACCATTTCCCCTTGAAGAAAATAAAGAATGAAAGTATGAAAACACCAACTCAATTTCTTCTGTGATCTACTATATATTGAATAAAAGACATAAAATAAGTTACAATGGTGCACATTCGGAAAGGAATCTCTCTTAAAGGAAAAAAATAAAAATAATCAACAAAGTTTGACATTAGGAATTCAATCTTCTTGTAAGGAAATAATATTAAGAATGTAACGCCCCGCTTGAGGTACGTTGTTATTGTTTCCTCTTTCGCCCTTAATCGAGTTGGTTTTTGTTATATTTGTTTGTTTGAATTTTGTTGATTGTTGCCCTGAAATGGTTGAAAATAGTAAGAAGTTTGAGTGTACCAAGCTTCGCCGGGCGAGAAGAATCTTCGCCGCGGCGAAGATGGTTGAACCAAGGGTGAAACTCTCTGGACGTTTCGCCGCGGCGACAATGTTTCTTCGCCGCGGCGACGGCCGAATTTTCATGTTGGTTGAGTTTTAGACTTTTTCTTCCCTAGGACAATTTGACCCTTCTACCCCTAATTAGCAGGAAAAGTGGGAGTGAATTGTAAGGATTTTACATGGAAATATGTTGATATGGGGTGAGTTTTGTAAGAATCAAAGGATAGGATGGAATTCCCAAAATAGAACAAGGGCAAAATGGGAATGAGTGTGTTAATATTTCATTAAAAGGAATTAAATCAAAGAACCCTCATTTCTTCTTCTCAACGGGACTCTTCATTTCTTCTCCTCTCATTTCTCTTTTTTTTGGTTCAAGGAATTTTCAAGGGTTTTGAAGTGATTTGGGGGTATAGAACAACCTAAGCTTCCTAAGGTAAGGATTTCTCCTAAGTTGTGTGATATGTAGATTTTAGTTCATTTTGGTTTTTAGGGTTTTCATTCTTTTGGTAAGGTAGAGAGATTAGCCAAGAAACCAAGTGGAAGAAGATTTGTGAAGTCTCTCCATAGCAAGTAAGTAAAACCCAACCCAAGTTGAGATTTATGAAATTTCTGATTAGGTTTTAATAGTATGATGTATGTATGTGAAATACTGTGATATGCCATGTATGGATGTATGAATAGAGATTTCTATGCTTTGTGATGTTAATACCTTGTAAATATGAGAAATGGATTGTTGGATTGGCAAGGTAGTTGAGATGGATTTGAAGGGGTGTATGAAACCCTTTTTGGAAGTGTTTATATTGACGTTATTATGACTTTGTGAAGGGGTCTTTCCCCATTTTTGGATGGTTAGGAAAATTTTAGATTCATGGCTATGATAGAGTTTTATAGTGCACATAGTGTTTGATAAATGCCTAATAGAGGTTTGAGTGTGAGTAATGAACCTTAATTCTTGCAACATT